GCTCTATGCTACAGTACCATTTCTCTCTCACTTTTTCTAGAGCTGGTACTCAAGGTGAGGATTCAGAACCCATCTCTTCGTGACAATGATTTCATTGAAATTGAACTGGATCGACAGGAACTCACCTACCAAGAACTGCTCAGAGTGAGTTGCTGTGAGCTGGGTGTTAATCCAGACCAAGTGGAAAAGATAAGAAAGTTACCCAACACACTGTTAAGAAAGGTAAGGAAAGTCTTTTCAGTATGAGTGGTTGCTGTTTACATTTCAAACACACCTAACTTCTTCCTTGGTTACTGAGTCACAGCTTAAGGGGAAGCCAGTAAGAAGGAGTAAGGAGAGCCGAGGCCATGGCTCAGGTCACGGCCTGTGCTTGTTATGTGCAAGGCTCTCAGCTCCAGCTCCGACCTGACAATCCATAAGCTTTCTCTCCCTTCATCAGAGTCCTCAGAGAAGCCCCCAGTGTACTCATTGATTTATTTTGAGACAGAGTCTTGATATGTAGCCCTAAATTGATTGGTTGTATGTCCCAGGCCAGCCTTGGGTTTATGGCAGTCCTCCTGCCTCTGCTTCTTGCCTGCTGAGATTAAAGGTGTGAACTATCATACTCCAGTACACTAGCACTTTTGAAGGTTGGAAGATAGCAGGATGTTGCATGGGCCTGTTTTAGTTGTTTCCATAGTGACCTGTGGGGCTTGCCTTATGCCATATGATGATGTGTGGTCCACCTGGCATCTTTGTAATGCTCCAACCAGCTATGGGCTCTCCAGCATCAAGCTTCTGGCTTCTCTAAGTTCCTGAGGAAACTTGACACTCACCTTCCTGTCCCTTTAGGGCATTTTCATCCTGCAGCAGAGACTGTTAGAACTTTCTCCATCTTGTCCAGGTTAGATGTGGGGCTAATCACTACTTAGCTATTTCAGGGATTTGATTTTTCTTCTAGATTAAAGATGAACCAAGACCCTGGAATTGATACAACCAACTAAGTAAGCATAGACACAAGCTGCTGCTATTACTTTGTTATCTTGGGCTAGCAAGATGGCTCAGTGGGTAAAGGCACCTACTGCCAAGTCTGAGGACCTGAGTTCTGTCCCAGGGCCCCACATGGTGGAAGGAGAGAACCAATTCCCACAGGTTGCCCTCTGATCTCCACATGTGCATTATGACACAAATGTGTACACGCAAAATAAACAAATGTAATAAAAGAGTTAACTAAATGAAAGTTTTAATCCATTGCCCCGCTTTGTTTTAGGACAAAGATGTTGCTCGACTCCAGGACTTCCAGGAGCTGGAACTGGTTCTGATGATAAGTGAGAATAATTTTCTGTTTAGAAATGCTGCATCCTCACTGACTGAGAGGCCTTGCTACAACCGGAGAGCTTCAAAACTGACATACTAATGCAGCAGGGACTTTATCACTGAGTATTGTGACAGTATGTGTCACCTCTGGGCCAAAGGACAAGCCATTGATCCCAAAGCCTCGGATGCCCACCAGGGCCCCTGGTGCCACTGCATAGTGTTCACTAACATCCTGCCTCAGCAGGCGGGAACCCCGACCCCCAGCAGCGGTGCCACTCTTCCAAGCCTCTTGGTGCACAATAAACCTATTGCTGAATCTCTGAACAGCTGGAAAGTAGTCTTGAGAGGCAGAAGCTGAAGGTACAAGAGCCAGTGTTTAATGTGTAGAATCTAGAGAGTTGTTGACGCAGAAGCTCAGAGCGCAGACCTATTTCTAGCCACTCCTGTTGACAGTGCGCCTGAAGGGTCGGGCGTACTTCTCTCTTGGTATTGCATGCTCATGACACTCATGAAATTTTGAACTGATTAGGGAGGAAGACTGGGGAAAGAAAGCAAGCACAGGTACAGGACAAAGGGATTCCAGTGTGACCTGTGGCTGTGAGGTCTCATATAGCATATTTATAAATGTTACTCAGGTTTAAAGTATTTAAAAATATAGTTACCTAATTGTAAATAGGCTGTTTACCAAAAGAGCTTCCCCTCCCCTAGTTTTCTTTCATGACCACGACCACTCATGACTGTGGCTATGTCTACAGTCATCTTCGCATCTCCTCCCCTCCACAGTCACTAGAGGGCTCTCTAATGCTTTCTAAGGGAGCCACCACCCTGCTCCGAGGCGGCTCCTGTCACCCTGTTTAATTGCGCCATTCAAGAAGAGCACAAGCGCTGCTGGACCGACCAGGTGTCCACCACTCTCACTCCCACCAGGACAGGACAAGAGCAGCTCTGGAGCCTGGATTTGTTGCTGTTTTAAAGGTTATTGTGGGAAACTGAACTAAAGGAGTTAGCATCTTTATTTTTGTATCAAAGATAAAGGTTATTTTGGAAATTATTAGGGTTTTTACATAACTGAGATCTGTTGCTTTTGTAAACAAATTGTTCAATCTTAGGAATTCCCCGTTACCTCCACAGTCAGTTGTGAGGGCCTGATTAGACTCTGGAGCGTGGTGTATGAATCTTCTCCAAGAGTTCATTCTAGAGTCTTCCCCTCCTCAGCATCATTAAAGATGAAAAGCCTCCATTTGCTTAACTTTAGATTGGACCTGGCCCACTCAGAGGAGCAGGAGAGCAGGGCAGGAGCAGCGCTGGCGAGGATCCCGCTGTCTTAAGCTTTCTCCCCATAGTGCCTATAGTTTCCGAAGAAACTTAACTTCCTGGGTATTAATTTTATTAGAACACTGCAGTTGACTGAAAACATGCAGATGTACTGGAAGAGAACCTTGTGCTGAAGTAATGGCCTCCCACTGCCGCCGAGTGCTGAACTGAGCTTGATGTGTTCCTCAAAGCCAGTGTCATGGGGTCACTGTGGGGTGACTGCATGGTACCCACCCCTGGTACAGCTGGTGACTTCCCTTGTAGAGTGTTTCCATAGCAGAGTGGCGGTTGCTCATCACCCCTTTCCCAAGTGCTTTAATGAAGAAACCTCCCTTGTGTTTCAACCAATCAGAAACTACTTTATCTAAATGTACTAACCTTTTTTTTTCCTGATTTGCTTTGAAAAAGTTTAGTAATTCAATTAAGTGTGACTCCATCTTAGAAGAAATAAACTCAGTATTAATTCATGTCTAAATTACTGGGGTTCAGACTCCTTCAGCCATCCTAGTTAACTAGAGATTCTGAGAAGCAGAAGGATCTGGCTGGGAGGTGGGCTACAGAGGAGCAAGCGAGCGCTTCAGAGTGACCAAAGGTCATGGTGTCCCACACGGCTCTGCCCAGTGTCCTGGCCTTTGCTACAGTCCTCTGGGGCCAGTGTCTCAGGCAGTGGGATGAAACTGCATGGTTGCTCTGAGGTGAGTTCCGAGTCTTAATCTATGCATTCAGAGAAATATTTTTATATGTGTTGTGTAATTTATAACAAGGGATTTTCTTTTAAGCTTTGTTAACTGAATGCACCTCTCCTCCTCCACTGCATATTTTAAAGCATGTGTTCACATTGTGTAAACATTCACAGAAGACTTTTCCTCGTGTGTTGTTGACTCTTTAAATATAATAGGTATTATTAAAATTAAATGTTAACTGACCAAGCCCATTTTCTCTCATGTTGCCCTCGTACACAGCACTGTCTTCTAATCATAGAGGGTCCAGATTGCTGTGACCTCCCATGGGGCTGGTGCTGTGGGGAAAAAAGAGGACCAGCTCCCCAGCTGAGTGTCTGCCACCCCACTGTTGCCTCTGTTCTGGCAGCACTCATGCCCTGTCGTGAGTGTCACTGTCTCACCCTGTGGGTAGCATCTGGAGATGGATTCTGTGTGACGTCTTCCCTCCCAGTTCACAGCAGTCACTTGGTTTCCCCGGAGTCGCTGAGCCAGCTAGCTAGAGGTCATCCCCTATTAACTGCAGTCTTTGATTATCCTATTTACTTGACACAACCGAGCCTCCCCTTAGGGCTGTCAGCACCTGTCATGGCTTCAATGAGTTCAGAAGCGAACTCCCAAGACAGGAGAGGAAGCACAGCCTCACACCTTCAGGTCTTTAGCTGGGAAGGATGCTGAATGAATCTCCTGTTTGGTTTAGGCCTCCTAGCACCTCACAAAGCAGACGTCATGCCAAATTGGCCTAATAAATCAGAGAGCACAGCAGAGACCTTTTCTTAGCACCGAGGAGAAGCAGAATAATTTGGGCATTTGTGCTCTCATACTTGTTCTATCAGAAGGATGGAAGTCGCCTTCCATACACGCATAAACATCCTGGGCAGAAATAGCCTGCCAAAAAAAAAGAAGAAGAAGAAGTGATTAACCTTTAACAAATGGTCCTGCAGCATAGGCCAACCCAGGGCATATAGAAAAAGCAGATCAAAGGCGCCATCTCCTTGGTGACTGCCAAGCACTTAGGGTGGGGAAAGAAAAACAGCCACTACCCGCATGCAGTCACTTCTCACCAACAGTAAGGGTACAGATGAGGGTGAGCTCGAAGACAGAGAGGTTCTTTTCAAATGCAGTCCTGGGACCAGATGGACTGTGCGGGGGGGGGGGGGGGGGGGGAAGTCTTTCGTTGGCTTGTTCAGAATGGCTCCAGGGCCTGGGCAGGCAGGGACCTAGGATACTTTTGGCCTTCCTGTTCACCAGCTTGACTGGAGGAGAAGGAAAGAGCAATGGCCTCCCTAGTGAACAGGCATCTAGAGGAGCCAGGAGGGGAGAGCTCACATTCATTTTAGCCCCTGGTGGGTGGCTTGGAAGACTGAGGAATGATGTGGACCCAAAGTGTGCTCAGCAGCTCTTCCAGGAAGCCCAGGTCTCACTCAGGTCAAGTTCCAGGGCCTTCATTTTCCTACCTTCTCACAGCATCTGCCCTGCAGAGTGGGAAGCACTGTAATTTTGCTGTGAATTTTTGGCTATGAAGATGGTATTTACAGCCAAAGGCTTTGGGTCTGAAGGTTTCAGATAACTGCAGCCACACAGAAGTGTAGGAGGGGCTCGGCATTCCCTGGTTCTTCAAGAAGGTTCTAACCACCAGACTTTGCAAACAGGCAGAAGAAGGTAACGTGGTCCAAATGCTGTTGACTACAGCTTTATTTCATCAGTGGATTCAGACAGCACCAGTACAGGGACTCTGTTCCCAGGACAGACTGACCTAGCAGTCCCTGGTCCAGGAGGAGAAAGGTTCATTTAAAAAAAAATGGAAAATATGAATATGTAGAGGCTGGAACAAGGTTTCTTAAAAACTGCAGTACGGGAATAATGGTAGATTAGGACCAGGAGACCCAGGCACGGGGCAGGGGTAGGAACTTGGCTTTGAACCTCAAACTCACTTCCTCATTCCACTGTTAAGTGTGGCTAGTCTGTGAGGCAATTTGGAGAATTAAAAAAAAAAAAACACTCAAAATGTCCCCACTTGTTGCCATTAAGTCCACTCTGCAGATACTTGCTGTCAGTTCAGACTAGGAAGAAACCCTTGGAATGCATATTCTAGGCGAGTCCTGCATCCTTGGCCATCCCATAGAAGATGCCTCCAGCTGCAATGAGGTTGACTGGAGAATCAAATTCAGCTACTACTCCTTTGTCCAAGACCAGGACCCTAGCCAAAAAAAAAGAAAAAAGAAAAAGTAGTCAAGTCTCCTAGCCCTGGAGGCCTGCCCTGCCCCTTTGGGTACTGCTCAGGCTCTGCAGTGACATGGCAGCCTACCCACTTCAGTCACCCTACTCAGCCCAACTGATAGGCCACGTATGCACACTTGCAAGGCTGGTTATTTTCGCTATTTTGTTAGCTCAGTGCGCGAAGCAGTTTCTGGGATCAAACATGAAGCCCTATTCATCTCTGCCAGTCTGAGCTTGGAAAGCCTTCCCTAATGAGCCTCTCCTCTTGCTGGGGTCACAGGGCTTCAGGAGGCTGTGTGCAGGGAGCCACAGACCTGCACGCTGGGTCCTGTGTACATCCATCTTGCTTTGTGCCAGCTCACAAAGGCACACGGCAGGAAACAAGGCTGCAGAGAGGCCAACACTGCAATCCCAGGACTTGGGCTGCTGCTGCTGCTGCCTCCGATGCTGCATGGATCAACTGTCCCCACCCCAGGCAAGCCTGAGCCTGGAGTTAGAGTCTCCTAGCAACCACACACAGGATGCACCTGGCATAAGACCCATAGGCAGCTGCACTAGGGTAAGGTGGGAGGGGTGGGGCTGTCCCTCCCAAGCCTGGAGAGAGACCCTCCTTTTGTGAGACAAGCAGGTTGCTTTCTGAACCCCACCTGCTGGCCTCCTAGATCTTTGTGCTGAGAAGGAGTGACCATTACTTCCTGACCACTGTTTAAACTTGCCCAAGAGGCTATGTCATCCAAACTCAGTCTCTAGTGGCTCCTCCTGGCCCTTAACATGAAAACTAACTGAATCTGCATGGTCAGCTTTTGGGGGCTGTTCCTCTCTCTGACTCTGCCCTCCAGCCTCAGTGCTCCCTGCCTTGGGGCTGTGCTGCCTCTAGTTCTGAGGTATACAGCCTCCTCCCTTCCTCATTCCCCTCTCCTCTCTTATCCTTTGTGTCTAGCTGACACTTTCTTAGCAGAGAGGGTCCTGCTACCTTGTGTAGACTGACTCTTCTGCCTGCACACAGGGACCCCTGCTTCCTTCCCATGGACTCTAATTGCAGGCTCTGTAACCCGACTCATAATTTCAGCCTGCTCTTTTAGAAGGTGTGACCTCCCAACCCCCATGACGGGGGCCCAAGCCTCCCACCCTAGGGCTGCTGGGGAATGAGTCTGTCTGGCCTCCAGATGCAGAGCCCAGCGCTTCCAGCTACTGGCACTCTGCTCCCAGTGGGGTTCTGAGTGGGAGTGGAAGATAGACATGGAGGGATGGGTCAGACACAGGGAAGCATCAGGCATACACACACACACACACCCCGGAAGATTCTGCTGGCTGCATGGGGACACTTCCAAGAGAAAGCATGCGAACTCTGGTTGATCCACTACCCTGCCTGAGGAAGCCAAGAGATTCTGAGGGCAATCCTTGGAGGAACGAGTGCTAGGAGAATCACAGTAACGGGCTTTAAGGGGGCTAGGGAGAAAACTGGCGTTTCTCAGCGTTACCCTCATTATTAAACAGTACTTCATTGACTCCTTAATAGCAGTTCTGAGAGATCTGGAGCAGGCCCAGAAAAGCTTTGCAAGTTGCCCATAGTCACACAGCAATCAGGGGCTCAGTGCTCTGGCTCAGACACAAAGCCTTCCCCATAAGCATCAGCTCTTTCCAGCACTGTTAGGGTCTAGTCACTAGGGATGGGACTCAGGAATCTGTCATGCACCTCCCAAGCAGCTTAACATACCCTCTGCGACCTGTTGTACTTCCCTGTCCCAGGCGGGAGTCGTGAGGTACTCAGGGCAGACGAGGTGATGGACAAACAAACACTCTCTCAACAAGCGTGGAAGTGACATGAGGGGCCATCCTCATCTCCTTACCCATCAACAGTAAGGAGCGCTGGCTCCTCTGTGGTGGTCTGTGCGGTTTCCAATGTCTACGGAGCCTGGTACACTGTTCCTCACATGTTAGTCATTTGGAAAGGACCCTGTGTCTTTCTTTGCATGTGTTGTTGTACCCAGTTATCGTTGCTCTATTCTACTTTGTATTCGAAGCTCGGGAATCCCGCTCTGTGGCCCCATACCATAGCCAATTCCAAGAGTCTCACACCCAGATACTTTCATTGGCTCCGCCTCTTCCTGACTCCCAGGTGACAGCTGTAGATCCCCCTCTCTTGGCTTCCGGGGCTCACCTGTTGTAGTCCATGATTGTGTTGAGCCGGTGGGCAATGGTCAGTACAGTGCAGTCTTCAAACTGGGTACGGATGGTGCCCTGGATGAGGTCATCAGTCTCCAGGTCAATGGCAGCAGTGGCCTCGTCTAAAACCAGGACTCGGCTCTTTCGGAGCAGGGCTCGGGCTAGGCACACGAGCTGTCTCTGGCCAACACTGAGAAAGAAGGCAGGTGTTTCCAGCTAGGTGCCCAGGCTACCTTCCAGGCAACCCTCCTCTCCAAAATGTTTGTCTCCACTCCTTCTCAACAGCCCGGGACTGGTTGTCTACTTTTCCTGGTTCTGCCACAGATCTCCAGGAGCAGGGACAAGGGCTTGTACCATAATGAGGCACCTGGAGGGCTAGAGCCAGAGCCAAACACCACTGGGACGGCTCTGTTGTAAATATTCTTAGGTCTGTTCTCCTGTGCTTCCTTCCCGACCACTTTACAACTAGTGCCACTGTGTGCTTTCAGTGCATGCTATCAGCCAATCACACTTTAGTAAGAACATATTGGTATCACTCTTCCTGGATATTTACATACAAGCCACTCGACGCCATCTTCCTAAAACTATGATTATACCATTCTGACAGTCATCTCCTACCCACACGGGGAATAGAGACCATGGCTCTATCTGGGAGACATGTAAGGGAAGAACCTGGGGACTCCCCGATGGAGAACCAGGACAGCTGATCCTTATCTTCTACCTCTGGCCTTGAAAGTCAGAACCAGTAAACAAAGGGAGGCTGTGTTCCCAACCACAGAGGCCACAACAACGCAGCCCCTGCGCCCCCAACCCCCCCATACATACACACACCCAAGGACAAATACCTCAACCCTTCCCAGAGGGGTGAGTCACAGCCAGAGTAAAGACCGGCCTCCCTCCCTGGCCTCTTCCCGCAACTAATGAAGGTTTTGGCAGCAGCATGAGCTGCCAGATAGAACTCAGGGCTGATTAATGGTGGGCCTGGCACAGGATGCAGGTTATACTTAAAGTGACCACAATCTCACTGAGGGAGAAGGAGGGACCATTTCTGTCTCTGATCCTGGTGTAAAGGGCTACAGACATCTGGGGGAAGTGCTGGGGACCAGCAGACAGCCAAGAGCTCTGGAGGCAGAGATTGGAGAGCCCCTACTGCCACCAGCCACCCTCTCCCCCATGTGCTTATGTAAGTAAAAGCCAATTAAAGGTACACATTTACCCTTACGGACTTTTTGGAGGGGGAGAGAAGGCGCTGTACTGGGAATTGAACCCAGACCTCACATTCACTAAGCAAGAGCTCTATCTCCAGCCAAGGCTGGCCTTGAACTTTGAATTCTTTTGGAGCAACTAGTTGGGATTGCAGGCGTGTGTCATCAGACCCACACCACACATTTTCAATTGGAAAGAGCCTTGTGATGAAGCAAGGACAGTAATGGGGACAAGTCTCACACTTCCCTGAGTCCCTTGCCCTGTGTCTGGCTGCTCGTGCAATTTTGGGCAAGTAATTCCATTTCTATTTCCGGTCCATGGGACAACAGTAAAGATTAAATGAGACAGTGGAGGCCAAAGTACTTTGAATACTGCAAAACATTAAGCACTGGTCAGATGTGACCTTCTGTTTGTTTGTTTCAGGTTTTGAAACATGAGTATGTGCTGAATATAAAGATGGGGGAAGGGTTAGGAATGTAGGTCACGGGAGAGTGCTTCTGAGCATGTGCGAGGTCTTGGGTTCCACCCCAGCACCAAAAGGAAAGAGTTAGAAAAGAAGAGAGGGCAGAAAGGGGAGAGAACTTGTTGACACTTCACAGGAGTACATGTAGGCTAAGTGCTTCTCAGCAGAAAAGACCCAAGACTGCTTCCTTCAAAGTGTAGCCACTGACTGGCTGCATCTGACTCTCTCAGACTTGAATTTTAGCTACTCTGGACAGAGCTGTACTGAAAGTGGAAAATACAACCAGGTGTGGTATCTCATCTTAGAAGGCAGAGGCAGGGAGAGAGGG